CGAAGGCTTGTGGACTTCAACTCCCAGAATTCCTCAGCCAGCAAAGCTAAGATTTGTGGACTTCAACTCCCAGAATTCATCAGCCAGCCGGCTGAGGAATTCTGGGAATTGAAGTCCTCAAGTCTTAAAGTGGCCAAGGTTGGAGACCCCTTGCCCTGGATGGATTCGCAACAGCAGAAAATGGGGCTGGATCCTTCACCTCCTTGAAGGGGACTCACCACAGCTGCTCTCCGAGAAGGCGACCGCCAGCCACACCAGACTCAACAGGGGAGAAGAGCGCAGAGCCATCCTGCCCGCCATCCTCCACCTGCGCTCCGCTCTCCCGAAGTCAAAGAAAGACGCGCCCTCCCGCTGATTAATAGCGCAAGAATCCAGAGCGAGCCGGCGATTGCCCACGCTCACCCAGTGGCGGGGGCGGCGGAGGGGGAGCATCCTTATGTCGTCACTGGTTGCTAGGCAGATGTCCGAGCAAAACAGGCAAGAAAGGGGAAGCGAAAGTTTTGTCCGGGTCAGGCGCTCGAGAACATCTGTTTCCAGGATCTCTTCCTCCTCTTGGAGGGAGGAGGCAGAGCGGGAGGGTTATTGAAATGCAGGAGGGGGAGCGGGGGGGCATCCCTTTCAGACCCCTCACGGCCCCTCGCAGTCGAGGATCAGGTGAGAAACCACAAGGGATCTTTTTCGCTTTGCATGAAAACGCTCCAAAGGCTCTCGGGGCATCTTGAAAACAAACACACACCAAATACAGTCCATTCATTCCTTTATTTCTGGCTATTCCCTCAACAAAGATACGAATTGATTAGGAAGCTTCAAAGCACTTCGGTTTTCTGGGAATAAATTAAGATGCTGCTCCCTCCTTTGGTACTTCCTCTAGGGCAAGGGTCTTCAAACTTGACAGCTTTAAGACTTGTATCTAACAAAATGAAATTCAATGTAAAGAAAAATAAAGTCCTACACTTAGGCAAGCAATTGAGTAGTCAATGTCTGGAATACTCTACCTGACTCTGTGTTTTCTTCCCCAAACCCCAAAAACTTTAACCTTAGACTGTCTACTATTGACCTCAACCCAACATGCCTACCGTCCCTGTACTATTGTTTCTTTCTTTTTCTCATATGTATCCATTTCATGTATTCATAACTACACTGCTCAAAAAAATACAGGGAACACTTAAACAACACAATGTAACTCCAAGTCAATCACACTTCTGTGAAATCAAACTGTCCACTTTGGTAGCAACACTGATTGACAATCAATTTCACATACTGTTGTGCAAATGGAAGAGTCAACAGGTGGAAAGCAGAGGCAGTTAGCAAGACATCCCCAATAAAGGAGTGGTTCTGCAGGTGGTGATCACAGACCACTTCTCAGTTCCTATGCTTTCTGGCTGATGGTTTGGTCGCTTTTGAATGCTGGCGGTGCTGTCACTCTAGTGGTAGCATGAGACGGAGTGTACAACCCACACAAGTGGCTCAGGTAGTGCAGCTCATCCAGGAAGGCACATCAATGCGAGCTGTGGCAAGAAGTTTTACTGTGTCTGTCAGCATAGTGTCCAGAGCATGGAGGCACTACCAGGAGACAGGCCAGTACATTAAGAGATGTGGAGGAGGCCATAGGAGGGCAACAACCCAGCATCAGGACCGCTACCTCTGCCTTTGTGCAAGGAGGGACAGGAGGAGCACTGCCAGAGCTCTGCAAAATGACCTCCAGCGGGTCACAAATGTGCATGTGGCTGCTCAAACGGTCAGAAACAGATTCCATGAGGGTGGTATGAGGGCCCGACGTCCACAGGTGGGGGTTGTGCTTACAGCCCAACACCGTGCAGGACATTTGGCATTTGCCAGAGAACACCAAGATTGGCAAATTCGCCACTGGTGCCCTGTGCTCTTCACAGATGAAAGCAGGTTCACACTGAGCACATGTGACAGACGTGACAGGTCTGGAGATGCCATGGAGAACCTTCTGCTGCCTGCAACATCCTCCAGCATGACCGGTTTGGCCGACTTTGAGACACATCATTCATTGTCACCCTTGACCCAGGCTGTATCGTAATTCATATTCTCCAATGGGACACATCCATAGCCAAGAGTCATCAATCATGCTCTCCAGTTAGATATTTGCGTGACAGAAACTTCAATCACCTAGTTACTATCTTTGAAAATATGTACGGAATGCAATTTTGGTTTGCAAGCTGTCGCAGTGCTCCCCCCTCCCTTTCTGTTGGCAACACTAAAAAGTCCATAGAACTATTTTATGAGTTGACACACATGGACTCAGTAGTCCATATTTTCCAGGCCATCTGCTGAACATGTTTACTTTGTTGAAAGACTTCATTATCACACTTATTGTGGCCTCCTCTCAGATGCGGTGGTTGCTGGTTAGAATCAGGACTGTCCTTCTGCAAGCTAAGGGCCCCTGGCTAAATTTCATCCTCACAGAGTCAATATTTTCTCCTTCCAGTCCTCCCACATCAACCTTCTAAGGTAGGCCAGCTGGTTGACAGTGGCTGAACCCTTCTGCTGGACAAAACAGGTAAGTAATAATTTGTGTGGAAGTTCCTCCAAGGCAGCCAGCCCCCGCCCCCCAACTGATGACCTCAGCACAAATAAGATGAGGGCTCTGGACAGATCCTCCGAGTTGCGCTGGAGAATCTACCCTTGGCCGTGGCTGAATCTCTTCCCTCTCTTCCACCACCCAGGAAGGAAGCTCCGAGTCAGATTGGAAAAGCCCCTGAGAGAAAGAGAGGGAGTGAGGGAGTGAGAGTGAGAGTGAGAGTGAGAGTGAGAGTGAGAGAGAGAGAGAACATGGATGGGCTGCTACGGGTTCTCCCGAACCCGGGAGAACCTGTAGCCAACAAACTGCCAAATCCCACCCCTGGCTGGCCCCACCCCTCCCCTCCCCTCCCAGGAGTCTCCACGTGGCCTGTTTTGGATGCAGGTAAGTGCAGGGTGCTTGTGGAGGCTCGGGGAGGGCCAAAAACAGGCGTCCTGGAAGTTCCAGAAGGCCGGAAACAGGCCCGTTTCTGGCCTCCAGAGGGCCTCCAGAGCCTGGGGGAGGCCGTTTTTGTTAGGGATAACATTGTTTACCCTAACTGGTTTGGGTAAAAATAATAAATAAGTTATCATGGTTTGTTGGTTAAAGTGTGTGTAACTTTAACTACAAGAATGTAATTAAGGGTGTGGTTGTAAAAGCACCATAAAAGAAGCAAGTCAATTGCAGCTCTCTCTCTCAGGCTTAACAATGGTTATGGGCCCAGAGATTGCAAAGTCAGTTTAACTAGGATAAAAAACAGGTTTATGTAAAAAGTGAGATTTTGTGTTGTTACACGTTACAGTAAACAGACAGCTGTGTTTTTATTAATTATAGTTTTACATCCATATATTGAAACATGGCACAAGTCAGTCTACAAAGTTTGTCCCTTATATCCAAGCTGGATGGAACAAACTATGTTTCATGGTCTATGAAATGTAGTCTACTTCTACGAAGAGAAGGTCTGTGGAACATAATTGAAAACCCACCAAACGTACAGGAATGGGATCCTGCAAATGAAGAAGATAGTCAAAAGATAGAAGACTTTAAACAGAAAAATGAACAAGCTCTTTGCATCATAGGACTAACACTATCTGATCAGCAACTTGTTCATATATGCGGAGAGCAAACAGCTGTTGGGTGTTGGCAAAAACTGAAGAGGATTTATGTCCGAGATAACGTTGGTGCTCACATAAATCTAACACGGAAGCTTTTCCGGACGCATCTCCAAAAGAATGGTGATATGCTGAGTCATTTGAATACTATGAAAAGCATTTTTCAAGAACTGCATGAGAAGGAGCTTATTTTCTCTGAACTACACCAGGTCTACATAATTCTATATTCATTAGACGAAAGTTTTGATGACTACGTAACTTCCCTTGAAATTTTACCTAAAGAAAGACTAAATTTAACTGATATCACTGGCAGATTGATTGAAGAGGCCAGAAGAAGGCTTGAAAGAAATCAGTTAAGGAGGGAGCAACCTCAAAAGGAAGATAATGAACCTACTGCATACACAATTAAAAAGTGTTTTAATTGTGGAGTAAGAAGACATTTGGCAAGATTTTGTAAGAAAGCAAAGCACCAGAATGCAAGCCAGAATACTGGAAGTCATCAAAGAAAAAATAATAATTTTGAGTTAGCCATGTATAGTAATGGAGTTATGAAAAATAATTTATGGGTGGTTGACAGTGGAGCATCCCACTGTATAACAAATGATAACAAAAAATTTGTAAAAATGTCCATGAGTTCACAGCATATCTCATTGGCAAACGGCTGGAAAATGAAAGCAAAAGGTGAAGGTATTGCACATTGTTCTTGTATAAAAGAGAACGTAAAAATGTTATATGTACCTCAACTTAAATTTAATTTGCTTTCAGTTAGAATGTTGGTTAGATTAGGATACGTAGTTACCTTTAGGGGAGATACTTGCTTAATTGAAAAAGAAGGTAAGAAAATTACTGCATCTTTAAGAGGTGAATTGTATGTGTTAAATGATAATGGTTTAGAGGTGGCTAACACGGTTTATGATAATAAGAAACCTCATGATGAATGTATTCACTTGTTACACCGACGGTTAGGTCATTTAAATTTTAAAATGATTAAGAGAACTGTTCAACTATCTAAAGGAATAAGTTTGAAACCTTGTAATAAGTATTTGCAATGTTCTGCTTGCAATCAAAGCAAAAGCAAGGTCATACCGGCAAATAGAGTTGATGGATTTACTACCAAAGAGCCTTTAGAGGTAGTATTTGCCGATATAATAGGTCCTAAAAAACCAAGTGTAGGTGGTGCTCGATACATATTAAGCATAATGGACCACTATTCTAGGTATGGTTTCTGTTTTCTAATGAAGAGAAAAACTGAAACGTATATAAATTTCTTTAATTGGTTAAAATTTGCAGAGAGAAAAATTAAAAAGAAATTAGTAACTCTTATAACAGATAATGGTGCGGAATTTACAAATAATAAATTCCAGAGTAGACTTAGGATGGCAGGTATTCAACATAAAAAGTCTGCACCATATAGGCCTCAACATAATGCCTTTATAGAGAGACGAGGCCAAACACTGCAATCAATGGGACGGACTATGTTATCTGATTCAGGATTACCTGACAATTTGTGGGGAGAAGCTATAATGTGTGGTAATCACATATTAAATAATGTTGTTAATTCAACAACAGGTGAATTACCATTCACACTGTGGCATGGTAGGAAACCTGATTTAAGTTACATTCACACATTTGGTGCACCAGCATGGGTGCATATCCCTACACAACTCAGA